AGCGCAGGGACAGAGCGAGGGGGCCGGGCAGAGCGAGGGGGCCGGGCAGAGCGCAGGGACAGAGCGAGGGGGCTACGTCCCCGTGGCCAAGTGCCGAGCTTCCGTGCCCCTCGTGAGCTGGGAGGGAGACGGCCTGGCAGTGGGGCAGGGCTGGATTCATTTGTGTTCACAGAGCACTGAGCCCCTGGCTGGGAGGGGCCTGGCGTGGCAGGGAGGGGCACATGTGTGCGCTGGGTGAGGAGGGCTCTCGCCTTCCATCAGGAGCCCCCCTCTGGCCCCTCCAGCCCCCAGCTAAGGGGTCACGGCGGTGCCTCTTTCCAGCGGGCGATTTTCATGCCAGACTCGTGGCTGCGCCGGAGATGGGCCTGGTCCCAGTGTGATGGGCCCTCTCGGTGCTGGCGCCCGCTGGCTGCGTCCTGGCTCCCGGGGGCTGGCGTGGGACGTCCGGGGGGGCCGATCCGTGCTCTCCGTGGGGCAGAGCTGGAGACAGCGCGGCCGGTACAATGGTACTTGCCTGCTGGGTTGGGACCGTCCGAGTGAGACGTGGGAGCCTGTCGGGGGTCCCACAGGAGGTTTGTCCAGCGCTGCTGGGCTGCACCCAGCTCCCTGCGCCTGGCCCTGCCCCTGGGTGGCACCTCCTGGCCCTGCCCCTGGGGAGGTGGGGTAACTGGGCGTCGTGGCGGGCGCGCTGGGCTCTGATCGCTTTCCCTCTGCCCTGCAGACATCGTCCTGGTGCACTACCAGCCGGTGGGCTTCCTGTGCCTGTCCCACGGCGTGTGCCAGCCCCTGTTCGAGGAGCTGCTGCTCCTGCTCCAGCCCCTGTCCCTGCTGCCCTTCAGCCTGGACCTGCTCTTCGAGCACCACCTGCTGCAGATGGGCAAGGAGCAGCAGCAGCAGAAGCAGCTGCTGCGGGTCAAGCAGGACCTGCTGCTCTCCGTTCACTCCACCCTGCAGCTGATGCGCACCCGGGGCAGCCCCGAGGAGCCGGACGGCTGGAGCGCGGCCCCGGAGCACGCCGGGGAAGAGGGGCTGTCTGCAGGCCGGGGCCAGGAGGGAGCGGCGTGGGAACGGGTCAAGGGGGTGGGCGCCGCCGGCGCCAGGGAGGAGGAGCAGAGGAAGGCGAAGGACAGCGCCTGGGAGGGGAAGAAGGACAAGCAGGCCGGCTGGTGGTACCAGCTCATGCAGAGCTCTCAGGTTTACATCGAGGGCTCGGCCGAGGGCTCCAAGTTCATCCGCCCCGAGAAGAAGAAGCCGAAGGCGCCAGGAGCTGCGCCCCGGCCGGCCGAGGGCGGGAAGGCCCCCCCTCCCCGCGAGGGCGTGGTGGAGGGGGCGGAGGCCTGTCCCGTCGCCGAGGAGAAGCCCAAAGCTGCGGCAGAGCCTGGGGAGAAGCCGGGCGAGGCCAACGAGCGGAGCTGGCCCTCCTGGATGGGGAGCCCCCCGGACTCGGTGCTGACAGAGCTGAAGCGCAGCAAGGACAAGGAAAACGGGGCTCCCCAGAGACGGGGGGTGACCGCGCCCCCCACGGAGGAGAGCAGCCGTGGGGCCCCCGACAGCAGCCAGCCCATCAAGTGGGGACACCTGTTCGGGGCTAGGAAAGTGCAGAAGGAGGCCAGGCAGCCCAACAGGTAAGGACGTGAGCCCTGGGGTGCAGCAAACAGACGGGGTAGTGCAGGGCCCACTCACCTCCCCGAGCCTCGGGCACAGGCCGGGGCCGCCCCGCAGATCACGGTTCACCTGAGCCCTTCACCCCCCGAGGGAGCAGGAGGAGCTGAGCGTGGTCTGGGGCAGAATGGCTCAGGCGAGGGGGCTGGCTGAGCTGGGACCTGCCCCAGGCATCTGCCTTCCCCAGAGGTGGCTGCATTTTGGGGGAAAACGCGATCCCCCTGTGGGAGCAGGGCCCGCTGGGGTCTTTCAGGCTAGGAAGAGAACCTGTCCCCTCCCCGGCGGGGCCCGAGCTGCCTGGCGAGCACAGCTTCTGGCCCCGGGACGTGTCCCCGTCTGACTCCGCTCCCTTCCTTTCAGGTTACCCTCCGGCTGGCTGACCCTGGACAGGTCCGTGTTCCAGCTCATGGCCCAGACGGTGGGGGCAGGAATGTGGAGAGAGGCAGCCCCAGAGCCCGAACGGCCCAGCGAGCCCCCCGAACAGCAGCTGCCTGGGGGGCTGCCCCCCCAAATCCCCTGGTGAGCGGCGCTGGCCTGGAGCCTGGGGCGGGCGCGGAGCTCAGGCTGACGAGGGTTTGGTTCGGCCCCTTCCGTGCAACGGGGCCAAGCAGCACCTTCCTCGGGTGGGTGCCCCTCCCTCCCCCAGCTCAGTCCAGCGCCCACTGGGCAGGACCCTCTCCCCGCTGGCACCAGCGGGCTCAGCGTGGCACTGCCTGATGCTGACGGGGCGAGTGGCCCCTCTGGGCAGAGCCGGGACAGCCCCGCTGGCTGGGATCCCCCGTGCACTGCTCTGCGCTCCCCGCCTGGCCGCTCCGAACCCGGCCAGCACCAGGCCCTATCCGGAGAGCCAGGCCCGCCCCCGGGCAACCGGCCCAGCCGGTTGAGATGTCCTGCCCGCTGCGCGAGCACGGAGCTGGCAGCTGCCCACGCCCTGCCAGGTGAGCCGCAGGCCTCGCTGCCCCCAAACTCACCCGGGGGGCTGGGCTGCACTCGGTGAGAGGCACCCCCGAACCCTGCCACGGCAGCCCCTGCCCCACAGCCGAGAGATACACCCAGCCCCACCCCCACCCCCCCCCGAAACCCGCCTCAGTGCCCCCTGCCCCACGGCAGACAGACACACACCCCGAACCCTGCCCCAGCGCCCTGCCCCACGGCCGAGAGATACACCCTGCCCCCGAACCCCACCCCACCCCCCGAACCCCACCACGGCAGCCCCTGCCCCACGGCTGAGACACACACCCGGCCCCAAACCCCGTCCCAGCACTGCTCCGGGGCTGCCGGGCTGGGAATCATTGCAGTGGGGGTGGTGGGGGGGCTGGCAGGGGAGGGGGGTTCTGGGTGCAGCGGGCGCCTGTGCTGTGACACGCCTCCCCCCGCTCTCCCCGCAGCGAGGTGAAAGCGCTTTGCCATCACATTGCCACCGAGGCGGGGCAGCTCAGCTTCCCCAAAGGGGCCGTCCTGCGTGTGCTGGCCAAGGTGGACGGCGACTGGCTGCGGTGCGGCCTGGGCTCGCAGAGCGGGCTGGTGCCCATCATGTACGTCACCCACCCGGCGGACGAGGACTATTGACGCGGCCGGGACGCCACGGACAGGACCACAGGCTGCTCTGCGGGGCCGCCCGGCAGGGGGGACAGACGCAGCTTCTCGCTAGTCCGTACCGTGCTCGCCCTGCCCGACAGCCCGTAACCCTGGGGGCGCCTCGCCTGCCCCATGCACCTGCCACGGCTGCCACGCCCCGGGGGACCTTGTGCCAGGCGCCGCCGTGCATGCAGCCTCCTGTCACCGCGCTCCATCTCCAGCACCGGATGCCATGGCCTCGGACGTAGCAGGACTCCAGGCGGCGTCGCTCTGCAGTGGGGGCTGCCCAGCCAAGTACCCTGATGGGCTGGGGGCTCCTGGACTGGGCAGGGGCTGGCCGCCGGAGACTACAGCCCCCAGCATGCACTGCTCCGTCTCCGTCAGAGCCAGCTGGCCCACCGCATGCTGACCGGGCCTCTGCTGCAGGCTGCCCCCTTGTGGCGTCAGGCTGCATTGCCGTGCTCGGCCAGGGCTGCTTGTGGCCCAATCAGCACACGGCTGCGGCCCACGTGACAGGCTCAGGGCCATACAGGGGGGCTGTATTGTGTGGCGGCGCCCACAGGACACACAGGAGCTGCCCACCATGGTCGCTCGGCTGCGAAGCCTGGCGTGCGTGCAGCCCCGGGCGCACGCTGTGTGAATGCCGCATGTATTGGACCAAGCCCAGGAACCCGGCCAGCAGCCTGGCACGGCCACACCACAGGCCTCCTGCTGGCCGGGCACGGGATGCGTGCGTCTAGGCCAACAGCCGTACAGTGTTAGAGGGAATGAGCCCTGTGCAGACGCAGCGCTGTGGGGTGCATGCGCCCCCCCCCCCCCGCCTCCCTCCAAATCCGCTGCTCCAGCCATGGAGGCACTGACTGGGGAGGGGCACAAGGCCATTCCCACCAGGGAGGTGGGGGAGGGGGAAGTGCACCCAGCAGTGTGGGGAGGGGCACATGCCCAGCAGGGAGTGGGGGGAGGGACGGACAGCGTGCCCAGCAGTGGGGGGAGGAGGGACAGCGTGCCCAGCAGGGAGGGGGGAGTGGGGACATGCCCAGCAGGGAGGGGGAGTGGGGCAGTGTGCCCAGCAGTGGGGGGAGGGGGACATTCCCAGCGGGGGGGAGGGGCAGTGCCCCCAGTAGGGGTAGTGGGGGGCATTCCCAGCATGGCCAGGGCCTGGTTAAGGGTGCCAGGAGGGGCCGGGAAGGGGCAGGCTGGATGGTTCAGGCAGGGCCCTGCAGCCGGGCCTGGGGGCAGGGCCTGGGCCCCCAGCAGGAGGCGCCGTTGTCAGTTAACCCTTGTCTTGCCGGGCAGTATTAGTGCCAGGCTGTGCCAGTATTTGTTGCCAGGACGGGGCCGGTGTCTGCACGGCGTGGTGCCCGGCTGGCTGTCCCGGGGCCAGGCTCCCGCCTGCTTGTACATCGCTCGCTGCGCTGGCCCCGTGTGACGGGCGGGGCCGCCGTTATTTATTTCTTTATTTATGAGGCATATTAATAAAAAAGGTGCTGACCCAGCTCCCCGCAGCGCCCGCCTCCTGCCGTCGCCCCCTGCCCCGGAGCACTGCTCGGCCCAGCCCGGGGGTGTGGGCGGGGGGCAGAAACGACCCTTCCTGGCCCCTGCAGCCCGGAAGCAGCAGCTCCAGAGACCAGCCCCCCCCCCACCCGCCGTGTAACTGCAGCAGGGCTAGTGCCAGGGACCTGACCCAGCCCGTCTCTCCCCCAGGGGAGCGTGGCCCAGCCGTGCCCCCCCCCCGTCCTTGGCCTCGTGCTCTGGGGCGACAGGCAGCGTTGGGCTGGCTGGTTTGTGCAGGCTCCGGCAAAGGCTGCTTCCCAGGTCCGAGCCCCCGCGGCACCCAAATGGCACGAGCCGGTGCACGCCCTGATGCCAGCCCCCTGCTACCACCGGCCCTGCCGCGCGTGACAGGAGAGCCCGGGGCGGGAGGGGGCAGCGGCAACACGCTGCGGGGCCGTAGTGCCGGCGAGGGGGTTGGGCACTAGGCCCCAGCGGGGTTTCCTAGCCTTTGTGTGCTCAGCCCTGCAGCACGGCGGGGCGGCTCCGGGGCCAGGCCAGCCCTCACGCAGCGCTGGCAGTGCCCCTGCCTTGGCACCAGCCCATGGGCGGTGCAGCATCACACCCCAGGGCTGGTGGCGCTCCCTGGGGGGGGGCTGCCCGCGTTGGGTGGGGCAGATTCAGCCAGGGCGCGAGGGCGGCTCTGGGCCAGGGCTGCGGGGCAGGCGCGTTAGCACACGCCATGGGGGGCCTGCACCGATTTAAACCCCCCCCGCCAGGCATGGCCCCACTGCCCGCCGACGGTTTGCAGCACGGCCGGGCGACGCTCCCCTCGTTCACATGGGAGGGCAACAGCGTTTGTGGCTCCTTCTCTTTATTGCTCGTGCACACGGCGGGGCAGGCCCCAAACAGCGCCGGGAAGGAACCGGTCCAGCCCCGGGCACTAGTCGCCCATCTGCTTCTCCAGGGTGCTCAGCCCCAGGGCGTTGTGGGTAAGCTGGCCGTAGGTGTGGCCAAACTGGAACTTGTAGCCTGCGGGCAATGAGAAGGCACCAGTGAGAGGACGTGGCACTGGGGAGCCCACCTGGGGCGGATGCTGCCCCGTCCGGGGGCTGCAGCCATGGAAACACCAACGTGGGCCGGACAGCATGAAACACCTACCCGGCAGGGGAGCCACCGCCCATGGGCAGGGCTGGGCACCCCTCTCGGGGCCTTTACCTCTAGTCTGCACAAAGCCCCAGCCCCAGTCTGGCACTGCCCCCCACCCCCAATGGGCTGTACAAGCCACTGCCTGCAAGAGCCGCTCCCTTGGCCTCAGCAGCGCCGGAGAAGCCCTGGGGGAGGGGTGCAGAAACAGCCGGCAGGGAGGCTGCCCCCTTGGTTTAACTGCTCGCTCGTTCCAGGCAAAGCTCCGGGTCAGGGAGTGCCAGGGATGCTGTGTTAGGAGCCCACCATGGCTCTGGCAAGGCAAAGTCAGCCCTGCAGAGCTACGGGCAGCGTTAACCAGCAAATGTCAACATCTGGCCATTTAATCAGGTCCCCAAAGCCCCTTAACTCTGACCAGTATCCCGACTCTCTGTCCCCACCTGGTGGGGGCTAGGGGTTGCTGCATCCTAGCTGAAGGCTATGACCAAGGGCTGTATTAACTGGGGGGAGGCGTCGCTGGTGGCTGTGAGCCGGTGCTGAGTGGGGTGCGGCTGCTGTTGCGACTGTCAGCGGAGCGGGGGGTTGATCTGAGGCGACCCTCCCCTCCACCAGCGGTGGTATTTCCCACACACTGTGCTGCACGTGCCAGCCCGCGGGCACCCCCGAGGCTGGGCTTGTCCGGCAGTACAGGGAAATGGGGAGGGGCTGTGGGCCAGGCTGGAGCCGTGGAGGGTTTGGGGGGGGGGTCCAAATGAAGGGGGTTTATGGGATCTGTGAGTCCTTCCTGGTCTTTCCTTCCAGGAGACTGGCAGGAGCCAGCCGGAGGCGAGTGCCCATGTTTCTGCAGGGAATGCGCGCGGTGTTGGCTGCTCAGTCCCTTCCCAGCCGGCCGCCCCTGTCCTCCCCTGGGGCCGCACCGCTCACCTGGGACGTAGCCTGCGTAGTGGGGCAGCAGCCCCATGTCCGTGGGGTACGACTTCAGCAGTGGAGGAAGGACCGGGCTGCCTTTCCCGGCCTCAGGCCTGCTCCCTCTGGTCTGGCCAAACTCCACCAGGGCGCGGTGGGTGGTCAGCGGGTAGCCTGCCCCAATCAGGAAGCGGGCGCGGGGCACAAAGCCGGTGAAGCCTGCCCAGGTCACAGGAGGAGAAACTGGAAACAAACCCAGCCCCACCACAGCCTCCTCACACAGACTGGCTCTTCCAGCCCCCGCAGCCCTCAAAGCAGCTGGGGACAGACCCAGGGCCCCTCCAGGGACAGCACGTTCCCACCAAATCAGCATCCCCAACTCGGGGCACCATGTCACCGCCCCCCAGAGCGCTCTGCTCAGACGCTGCGTGTGGCAGGCGCTGCAGAGGCAGGTCCTTGGCCGGGGGCTGGTTGGTCCTTGCAGGGCTCTGGATTAAAGGATGAAGAGTGGGGCTCCTCAGGGCTCAAGGACCCCTGCACCCCCTCCCTTCTGCTCCCCGAATCCCAGCCTGCATGCCCATCCCCGAATCCCAGCCCAGCCTGCACGCCCAGCCCCGAATCCCAGCCCGCACGCCCAGCCCCGAATCCCAGCCCAGCCCGCATGCCCAGCCCCGAATCCCAGCCCAGCCCGCACGCCCAGCCCCGAATCCCAGCCCAGCCCGCACGCCCTGCCCCGAATCCCAGCCCGCACGCCCAGCCCCAGCCCTGCCGGCTCACCCGAGATGAAGCACTTGTGGGGGTTGTTGTCCTCCATGGAGTAGGGGGAGCCCTGTGGCTGGAAGGCGAAGGGAGATACGTACGGGGCAGCTGCTGCCGGGACCGGAGTCCTGTACTTGGCGGTGAGGAGCTGGGGGTGCAGGATGGGGGTGATCAGACAGGGGCTCCCCATGGGGGGACGGGTCAGGAAGCGATGCCCAAGCTGAGTGGGCCGGGCACAGGCCACATGGCAATGCTGTTAGAGGAACCAGCCACCCCAGGCTGGAGCAGACACTGGTGTAAGACCAGGAGCAGCTCCATAAGCCAAACCCATCGGGGCAGAGCCCACAAGCTAAGCAGGGCCGCCCAGTCTTCCAAGGAAACCCCAGGTGCTGCAAGGAGCAGTGTGGGGAGCTCAGTAGGGGGCCCTCTCCCCTGGTCCTATTGCCCTGTCCGAGGCTGTGCATGGGGTAGGTGCAGGAGGGTCTATGGGGTCTGTGCAGGGGGTGCGAGGGGTTGGTGCAGGGGGTCTGTGGGGTCCATGCAGAGGGGTGCGTGGCGCTGTGGGGTGGGGCTGTGTGTGGGGTTGGTGCAGGGGGTCTGTGGGGTCCATGCAAAGGGGTGCGTGGCGCTGTGGGGTGGGCATGTCCAGGACTGTGTGTGGGGTTGGTCCAGGGGGTCCGTGGGGTCCATGCAGAGGGGTGTGTGGCACTGTGGGGTGGGCCTGTCCGGGGCTGTCCGTGGGGGAGGTGCAGGGTGTTTGTGAGGGGTTGGTGCAGGGGGTTCGTGGGGTCCATGCAGGGGGGTGCGTGGCACTGTGGGGTGGGCCTGTCCAGGGCTGTCCGTGGGGTCCATGCAGAGGGGTGCGTGGCGCTGTGGGGTGGGCCTGTCTGGGGCTGTGCGAGGGGTTCATGCAGAGGGGTG